AGTGTCAACTCGATTCGCTCACGTCCACCTCCACATGGTTGGACCATTTCCGCCATCCAAAAGCATGGTCTACATACTGACCATGGTGGATCGCGCCACTCGTTGGCCTGAAACTAACCCAATTCCCAATATGTCTGCTGAGACCATAACGTGCACATTCGTCGAGCACCGGGTTGGTTCACATGGATGTCCAGCCACTGTGACTACCGACCGTGACCCGCAATTCGAATCGTCGACTTTCAAAGACTTACTCAAAGTGCTGGGATGTAGACGCATTCGGACAAATGCTTACCATCCGCAAGTAAACGGAATGGTGGGACGCTTTCACTGATAGCTTACAGCCTCGCTGTGCAACCAATGCACTTAATTGGACAGAAGTCTTGCCAATGGTACTCTTCGGTATTCGATCAGCACTGAAAGCCGATCTCGAAAGGTCCAACACCGAACTTGTTTAGGGACAACCACTCCGACTACCAAGCGAGTTCCTCTTCGAAAGCCCAAAAACTCCTCGCTACGACGCGCACTACGCTCGGCAGCTAGCCACGAGCATGCACCGCAAATCGACCGAAGTACGGGAACAACATCGTAAGTCTTATGTTCCCAAAGATCTTCACTATTACCCGTTCGTCTTCATACGCATCGATGGTCTACGCAGACCAGCTGAACGACCTTACTCAAGTCCATACAAGGTCGTACAACGTAAGGATCTCTCCTTCGTCACCGAACGCAACGGCAAGCGCGAAACCGTCTCGATCGTTGTCCCAAGTTGTACATGTCGAAGCAGAACCTAAAGACGATGGTAGTCCTCCGTTCTCCGACGAATCTACCCAACCGATGGTAGAAGAAACGCTTGCAGACAGCAATACCTCAAAAGCAAACCCGCCAACCGAGCCCTCCGACTCCATCCAGCCTAAATGTTACTAGGTCTGGTCGTCGGGTCAACTGGTCGACACGTTTCTTAGAACGTCAGCTTAGCACTTTTGCTTCTAACAGCGTTTTCAGGTTTCGCGTCAGTACCCACCGAAACCGTAAAAAAAAGCACATAATGTCTTGGAAACCCGAAAAATCACAGGTTCTGAAAACCAGAAAACGTTTTGAAAACCGATAAAACGAGTGGCTTCTTTAACTTTTCGTTGCTTATTTGGTGTCATTCCCGTTCGTTGCTGTCGCAGCTTCTGCATACCTGACCACCGTTTCTTTCTTTCTTTCCATGTTGCGAATCGGAGAACACTCGCTCGGGGTCAAGCACAAGTGATCGTATGCAACCAACGTTCTCACTTTTTCTTGTATCGGCAATTTTAGGGAGGACACGGGTGGGAGTCGGCTAGGATCCCATTGCGTGGTTCTCTCCCAGCAACTGCATCAGGGTTCACTACCGGTTCTCTCTGAAGGCTGGCCGGCGACGGACTATGTCCCGTAGATCGAAGGGTCACCCACAGTTCCCTACAAGGAGGGTTTGTGTAGTGATCTTGAGAATTCCCAGTTGTCTGGGTACGATGTGTAAAATATTATTTTAAAAAAATATATTATTATGTACCTAAACAAGGTACGCAGCTTGCCTGTTTGAACGATGACTACGTGTGTTTGAGTCAGCTAGACGAACCGCATTTCGTGCGCTTCCGGCTTTTCCGCGTCGAAGAGCGGTCGCTGAGCCTCGGGTGGCGACCATACCTTTTCCTTAGCTAGAACCTTCCAAGGTGCCTTTAGCTAGCGGGATTGTGCGTCTCGACAATAAACGTCTAGCACGCCCATAAATTCGTCCTATTCCGACTTTTTCTTGAGGCGCGACGAATCTGAGAGTATAGCGACCGAACGATTCCTCTGTAGACCAGTGGTACCAATCGGTTGGAAGAGCTTGCGATAATTGCTTACTGCTCCTGATTTCTTCATTTCTTGAGCTATTCTAGTCTACCAGGCTTTCTTGTCAGCATGAAGGACCCACTCTAGAGCGCCTTATAGTTCGCCTAGTAGTATTGTGCTCAGAGCCAGCAGGAAGTATTCTTCTGGATTCCAACAGGTTCGCCGACCTCTCGGTGACGAATAATAGTGCTGAAAGCGGAGGCCCCCGTATTGTGGCCGAGATCTTATTCCATTGAAGCTCAGTGTCATTAGGATAAGAGAGCGAAAGTTTGGTACGCAGTGCATCCTGGTAGGCTTGTCTGAAAGAGTGCTGAGATAAGTTTCCAGCTGCCAATCGGAGGGGGGGGGACGCTTGGTGCGTTAAAGTCAATGGAAAAACGACAGCGTACCAATGAATGATCAGAGTCCACACAGTTACTCCAGAAAGAGCGACAATCTATGATGGAACTACGCCACCTGTAATTTTTGGCAACGTGATATATTTGGGTCAGCTATAGGTGGACGCCAAATGGCACTTCGGAGCTTACTGTGTCTAAGAGCGGTGCTACTAAGAGACAGCTGGTACTCCGTACATAGCTGTAATTTGGCGCCCACCGTTGTCCGTAAGGTGGGAGTTAAGTCCATACTTACCACCTAGCTGAGCTTCTGAAGAGCTCAGATGACCTACTTATGCATTCAGATCCGCTGCACGTACCAGCATATCTGAATTGGTAGCACTGCGTAGTAGTGTGTTCAGTTCGTGGTAGAATGTGTACTTAGCAGCAACAGAACTGTAGTCGGTGGGGGCACAGGCGGGAACCGCAAATAAACAACGTATAGCGTTACTTCGTGAAGCAACCTAACTTGATGTCGTCAAACGGCTGTTCACTGGAATCCAATCAATCAACGAGGACTGAGCCTTGAAGATGAGAACAATGCCCACTCCAGCTTGACCTGTGGTTTCCGCATCAGCGTCTCCGGATGCGTGCAACCAATAGAGAGAAGACAAGTCGAACGCAGTTAATGCAGCAACGCAATAAGGGTCACTGATGCTAGTTTGGGACATATAACACGTTAATACCCAGCGTGTCCAACCTCCGTACTAGTGCAGCCTGTTGACCTATTGGTCCTAGAGTGCGAACTTTGAACGCCGCCAAGGAAATGTGGCAGCGTAGCCATATAAGGAACTGTTGGTGTCCAGTGGGTGGTCAGGTCAGGTCAGACGGACGATAGAGGCTTCCGCCTAACGAGCGTCCAGTTCTTGTACCGGTAAGTGAAGCGGCCCCCGGCACTTCGATGTTGGATTGTCTCTTCTTGCTTCTGCAATGGAATGAAGCAAGAACAAGAGCAATCTTTGCACTTTCATATGCCAGCATCAAAATACACTACATATTCCAGTACAACTACAATATCTCTGGAAAAAGAATGGACCAACAATCGTCTAAGCCCCTTTTGAATGCTTCTACGGTCTCAGACTCCACTAAATCAGAAGGAAGCTTATTCCAGAAGTTAACTACTCGGTTCGTAAAAAACTTTGCCCTGATGTCCAAAAGAGCTCTGTGGTGTTTGAGCTTCAGGCGATGCCCGCGCAGATGGTCTGACATAGCCAACTCAAACAGATGGGTGGAACTAATACCACTAAGTCCCTTAATGATCTTAAACGTCTCTATCAAATCCCCTCTCAACCTACGCCATTCCAAGGAAAATAATCCTAAGCTACTTAGGCGATCCTCGTAAGACTTCCCTCGTTGACCTTCAATCATCCTGGTCGCAAGTTTCTGAATCTTTCTAAGCAAATGATATCACTCCGGAGGTACGGTGACCAGGCCTGAACACAATACTCCAGATGTGGCCTAACCACTGCTTTATATAACGGCAAGAATACTTCTGCTTTAGTGTTACTCAACGCTCTCCTAAGACGAAATAGCTCCTGTCGCGCTTTATTGGCAGTATGAGGACAGAAGGCTTAAAATTGTTCGCTACGATGACACCTAGATCACGGGCTTCCTCAGTACACCGCAATGATAGATCCCACAGGAGACTGAACTGCAATTCCACTACCACTACTAGTCAATAGTTGACATTTATTGGCATTTAAAGGTAGGTCCCATTGGCTTGACCAATTCACCACAGTGATGATGTCCTTAGCCAATGCCGCTCGGTTTCCCCAACTGACTAGCTTCAAGTCATCTGCGAAGATGTAGCAGGGATCCCCAAGAAGAGGAGCCAGGTCATTTATAAACATAAGAAACAGCAATGGACCCAGTACCGAGCCTTGGAGGACACCACTGTAGGCATGGCCAACACTAGAACTCGCTTTCCCAACTCTGACGCTGAATGTCTTTCCACGTAAGAATTCAGAGAGCCATAGTAATAGTTGAGGATGCAATCCAAACCATGTCAGCTTCTCAATTAAAAATCGATGATTCACTGAGTCAAAGGCTTTACTGAAATCAAAATAGCACATTGATTCATTGTAAACTAACCGATCACATTTTGTACTCTTAACATGATCATGCCTGTGCAGGTGTGCCTCACTTAGTCGGGAATAAACATCTACTTTATTTGTTTAGATAGGATAAGGATTAGGGTTCGCGACTAAAGCCTCTGGCTCATAAGTCTGTCCGTAAGGCAGCGGGGAGGTGGCAATGAATTAGTTTTACATAAACTGTCGCCATCACATTGCAAACCTACAAACAGGAACACCAGGAGACTGACCAACCTGGTAGGAGCCCAAGGGGCCCACCCTGTATAGCTCAATGGGTCGACGAGGTAGGCAAACCGTCACACCAGGTTGAGGTCCAGTCTCGTTGCAACGTTGCCCTTAGGAAACGCAGTAGTCGAACAAAACAATGGTTCAACGACCCGCTGAAGAAGGAACACTCACGGAATAATCCTATCGTTCCAGTCCCGCTTGAACTTGAGGAGAAAACGGCCAAATCCTCACCGGCAATAATTCGGGTCGATACTCTGGTTACCACGAGCGAAAATCACATTAATATGGTTAAAACGTAGTCGCGTCACTAAACTGCTAGCCTATATTCAGTAAAGGAATGAGCACCAAAACACAATAAATAAAGCACGACACGGCAACCTTCAAATCCGACGAACGAAGCACCATACTAAATATAACCCCGGTGGAGGATGTAGCACGAGAAATAACGAGAACGAACAAATATAATGAATATTAAAGAATAAACAAAGCAGGATAAGCAGATCAGTACTCTTCACCTTCACCTTCTCCCTCGCCTTCAACACTATCCACACCAACCTCCTCGTAATCCTTCTCCAGTGCCGCAAGATCTTCTCGGGCCTCAGAAAATTCGCCCTCTTCCATACCCTCTCCAACATACCAGTGCACGAAAGCACGCTTAGCGTACATTAAATCGAACTTGTGGTCCAATCGAGCCCAAGCCTCCGCAATGGCTGTTGTATTGCTCAGCATACACACCGCTCGCTGAACTTTCGCCAAATCACCACCCGGAACCACCGTAGGAGGCTGATAATTTATACCCACCTTGAAACCAGTCGGACACCAATCAACAAACTGTATGGTACGCTTCGTCTTGATGGTCGCGATCGCTGCGTTCACGTCCTTCGGAACCACGTCACCGCGGTACAACATGCAACACGCCATATACTTCCCATGACGCGGATCACACTTCACCATCTGATTGGCTGGCTCGAAGCATGCATTAGTTATCTCAGCAACACTCAGTTGCTCGTGGTAAGCTTTCTCGGCTGAAATAACCGGAGAGTACGTGGCGAGAGGGAAATGAATGCGTGGATAAGGGACCAGGTTGGTCTGGAACTCCGTCAAGTCCACATTCAGAGCACCATCGAAACGAAGAGAAGCAGTAATCGAACTCACGATTTGTCCAATCAAACGATTCAAATTAGTGTACGTCGGACGTTCGATATCAAGATTTCGCCTAGAGTAGACATAATAACGAAAAATGTTCACACCTACCTGCAAATATCATAAATTGCCTCATTGTCCACCATGAAAGCACAGTCAGAGTGCTCCAGAGTCGTGTGCGTAGTGAGAATGGAATTGTAGGGCTCAACCACTGCCGTCGCTATCTGAGGGGCAGGGTAAACGGCAAACTCTAACTTCGACTTCTTGCCGTAATCCACACTCAGCCTCTCCATCAAAAGAGAGGTGAAGCCAGAACCGGTTCCACCACCGAACGAATGAAATATTAAGAATCCCTGCAGACCTGTACATTGATCAGCCAGTTTCCGGATCCTGTCTAGAACTAGATCCACAATCTCTTTCCCAATGGTGTAATGCCCACGGGCGTAGTTATTCGCAGCGTCCTCCTTTCCAGTTATCAACTGCTCCGGATGGAACAACTGTCTGTACGTACCAGTACGGACCTCGTCAACAACAGTGGGTTCCAAATCCACAAAAACGGCTCGGGGAACATGTTTCCCAGCACCCGTCTCGCTGAAAAACGTGTTGAACGAGTCATCTCCGCCACCGATGCTTTTGTCGCTGGGCATTTGACCGTCGGGTTGGATGCCATGTTCCAGGCAATACAGCTCCCAACAGGCATTGCCCATCTGAACACCAGCTTGACCAACATGTACACTGATGCACTCACGCTACAAGGATGAATCAACAGTACAGCGAAACTTACCATTATTATCCGAGTAGTAAAGGAATGTCGACTACAGGCAGATACCGTGAAGACCGACTGAGGATTTTTGGCACACGCTATGCCGGCAAGCGCCCAGCCTATCTGCGCCTAATCTCGTGTCGATTGGTTGACTGAAGTCAGTGGTGTATTGATCGAGGGTTTGGATTGGTGAATCGATGAGACAGACATGTTTGGTTAGCCAATGTGCTTTGTGTGGGCGGACTTGGGCGGTCTACGATTTCTCTCTTTCGTGCCAGTGTAGCTTTGGCGTGTGACGGCTACCCTGGGTGAAGCACCGCCGCCACGGCGGCAGGGCTTCACCCCGTGCTTTGCGCGCACGAAGAGGAAACGCAAGCGTTGCTGGAGCTGGCGTTATCCGTCTGTTTGCTCCCATGCTCTAGCGCTATTACTCCACCAGCATTTGCGTCATTATTATGGTGAAATACGTTATCGAAATTGCCAGTACTGTACAATCTTCATGACATTTGAGGTTATTTTCATTGCACGTGTAAGAACTAGGGAGTTAGTGTGTTGGTGTTTACCATTTTGATGTTGTTCAGGTTGTATAAATCATCATTATACACGTTAACTGCTGGTGGAAAGCACCTCAGCTATTGTACCGCAATACAAAAGGTAATAAGAAAAACAATAGGCACGCCGGCTGAGTCCCCAGTAACGGATGGACATGGTTCCGGAGAGCTAACAGCCGGCAAAAGGAGAGTTATGTTACGCCTAAGGAATGAGATCGTGATTGGGGGAGGCTAAACGGGAGTGGGATGGACAAAGGAACGCACAACACAAACGCCATTGGGGCCCGCTCTTCGCCATGTCAGCAAGTGTGTCCAACCAAACGTGTTCATCGTCCTTAGGACCGCGGCCAATCAGTCGGGATGCATCAATCGACGCCAACTTCGAAGTGAGAGGTTTCATCTCGCTCGAGCAAATCACCGCTTGGCCTCCTCTTCTAATCGCACCCCCGGCGCGCAAACAATACACGTCGCGAAAGTCGGTGTGCTGGCATGCGTAACACGTGGCCCAACCATCAGACCCTGGTGCGTGATATAATGGTGCTGAGTGGTTCATTCTCTCTTCCTGCACCAAATACGCGATGCCCAACGCGCTCATTGCTCACGCGATGCTCCCAACAGACATGAGCTAAGCTGCGAAAGCAGTGATGATCGAACGTGACCAGACTCTTTATGTCTGTCGACCTGATGGGCAAGCTTTCAGAGCGGTATAAGAGGGTTGAACGAACGGCTGCATATACACTACCCTTCAGGGTGAATGTCACTGCGCCACAGATGGCGAAGATTATATAAATACATGTTTTATTTCTCGACGGTGCTAGAAATTGTTCCGCATCGGGCAGATCAACCGGTAGCGCTGAGCAGTGGTTGTGTCGCACCTGCATCGGGTTGGAACTGAGACACAGATAATGACTGCACAGTCTTCCAGCTTATAATTATGTTCCACTTGTATTATATGAACTCACTTCTTAGGAAGCAATAACCTTTTGGAGCGGACTGACGTTTCCCGGTTCGTTTGGGGTTTGATGGCAAATCAGAACCACCAGTGGTACACTAAGATAGCTTATTTGGAAAGCGGAAGATGCCTAAGCTACGGCTTGGACGACACCTATACACCAGAGGGTCCAGATCGGGACTATAGCAACGCAAAGAAAGGCGAGTGTGATTCAAGTCGTGGACAAAGTGAATGTGTGCCCAGATATTCAACCAATCGTTTGCAGGCAGACATCTTAGATTCCCTGGGTACATGGTAAAACCATCATATCGCACCTTGCTTAACGAAACGTAGGATATTGGTATCGCGGAGCAAAATCACGTACCCAATTGTCTACAGAATGTTGGTTGCACTCGATGTTCTGTGACTAATTGCATAGTGCTTGGGTGTACGAAATAAGTGTTCGCTCGATTAGCCAACGACGGATGTCTGGCTCGCAGCCTATTCAGCAAAAATGGCATCAGCAGTACGTCCTTACGCCGTACAAAAGCTTCGCTACCACGCAACCCACTTGGGCTAAGGATACTGCGTAGGTCGCCAACTCCCCAACGCGGACTGCAACCGGCGACCTTTCAGCCATTGGGACGGACCAGATTACTGTCCGAAAATGCAGATTAATGCAGGGAAACTTCTTTTTAATTGTCCTAGCTATAAAAATGACACCGGTGAGCATTGCTAGCCAGTGTAACAAAACGATGAATCATATGATGCGGTTGCGCGCCGCAGCCTGATTCAAACAATTGAACTCAGTAAACAGTACAACCTTCCGCTTAGATGTCCGATGAAATAGTAGTACCGTACATTACCGTGTATAAGCCGACCAGTATATAAGCCGACATTATGACATTGCAACGGCAAATTTGTCCAAAACCGTAAGTCTGTATATTAACCGACTCCCAAAAAATCAGCAGAAAGAGAAACGAAATTGTTTCTCATGATTTTGACTTCGTCACTACCTGCTATCACTTAAGTGTGCTAGATCGAAAGCTGCTCTGCGGCTGCGACTGCCTTGTCAAGGTAACGATACGCTTCGGAATGTGCTCCCCAATCCGCTTACACAAGCAACGGCCTGTTTTGTCGATGTAATTGCTTGCATAGTTACAAACAAATACATAGAAACAGTGCGCTGTGGCGGAGACCGGCTTAGTAGGTTTGACTGGGGGCAATGGTAGCTTCTTGGTTGTCCAGAGAATGCAGAATTTAGGGGCGCCGAACGCACGCCGTATTGCAAGTGCTGTGCGTCGTTCTACCTACCTAGCCAGAACGATACTTTTTCCCTGCAGAGTAACAACAAATCCTTGAGATACACTACGGGAATCGGCAGAGGCACTTTCTCATTAGTGACAAAGTCACAAAAGAAATCCACTGTTTCTTTCAGAGGAATGTTGATAAACAAGGACTGTACAACCATGGAACATATCACCTTGTCCGAAACGTTGCTTTTGCGTAACTGTTCAATTAACTCAAAGGTATCTCAAGGTGTGCTTTGTTTTGGAGCCCCTGGTTGCTCAAAGACCAGGGTATGCTTGACACCCCCACAACGTCCGGTGACAAAATTAGTAAGGGGTCTCAGACACTTGGATCCCCCGCAAGGGCTCCGTCGTTTTGGTCTCTTCTCCTTGAAATACCGACGGCTTTGGGGCCATTTGATCCTCGTATCAGCAATCCTATCCAACCTGGACACTCCTGCCGCCACTTACTGAAACTGCACCCCTCATGCTCCCATCTTCATGGTCACTCACCCCAGCTCACAAATCAGCACAGACGGGTGAACAGCCGGCGACATTGCTTCGCTCTGCGAGTCTGCCCACCTTGGAACACCCTGTTTGTCGGCGTAAATTCGGCATCTTCTGTGGATGATTTCAAGACTCGTCTGGACCGTCATCTTGCCGACTTGCATCGTGATCTTTCCTGAGACAACTACCTGCAGTTTGGAATACCACACCCTAGATTAGCCCCAGTGATCTCCCTGCCACTTCTCACCAGGCGCAACAACGCTCCCGATTTACATGCTGTTGGAGACATTTTCCCTTATGTTGCTCTTTTCCTTTCCCTAGCTATACCAGAGGACGTGGTGGGGTGTCACGCTTCGAGCCGGCGTACATTCTAATTAAATGTCCCATAACCCCGAGGAAGATACGGCTAACACACGAATCCAACCAGCTATAAGGTTGCATGGCTTTTCATATGACCCGACCCTAGTTCTTTACACCTTATGGGTCATGTAAAGCTTCAGCTTTTTCCCATGAAATACCATGTTCCAATATTAGGGTTGCATCGCTGTCTGTCCCCCTATGCTATTTGATGACCTCCTTTTTGGTTCGTCTTGTCGGAGTACGAGTTTTTGTTTCGTACTATTATTTCTGACCAATCTAAATGTAGTTATTCGCTAGCTAGCCTTCCTAGGAACTTCGCTTTACAGCTCAGTCACACACTTTTGAGCCCAAATACGGATCTTTTTCATGAGTCGCTTAAACAGAAGATCGTGATACGACTGGAAAAACCAGTGAGTACGCGAATCAAACAGCTATTCCATTGCTTGCATCTAGGAGACGCAAGGCCCTTTTGAGTGTGACGAAGAGACTCTTCAGCTCGTACTCAATGGATTATTCCATACTTCTGGAGCATTGGCTTCAGCACCTACTCGAGATAGATCAAGCTATGGTCATATCTGCCAAGGTCTTGTCCCTCACTCTAGCCGCGCAACTGGCTGACACGATCATGGATCATCTTCCTAAGGAAGTAGTTTACGCAACGGCACCCGCTACATATCCACCGAATAACCATAACGTGTCTCAACAGCCACCTACTTCATGCAGGTATCACGCAGCCCCTCCCACTGAGCTTGCCATAGAACTTAACGAACTAGATGCATTCCGCGGGGCTTTCGATTCTCCTTCAGCAATCGATATCTCGCCGATAACTAAGAGAAAGTTGGCTAAGCCTTGCAGCCTACCGCCTACAGCCTACTATGTTGGCCCTGAGGCGAAGTGATGTACTACTCCTTACACTTCATCTCGGTGTCATTACCACCAACGCCGACATTGCAGCTATCACCCGAGTCTTCCTCCGACTACGCCGAAATTTGCTCTTACCACCCAACCTCGTTCGGCCAATGAACGAAGCACTCCCCGTGGCA